AATCTCACATTCTTGTCTGAGGCTAAACGCTCATCTCCTAGAAGGGCTCGGTGGGCCCTTTTTCCTGTCAAGCTTCAATTACAGTCTCCTTTCTACCTAGTATGCAGAATATAAGGGCAGATTGCAGCAGTTTTAGTCCTCTTCCAGAATGGAATCTGTTCTTACTCCTGTGATTCCATTCTGCTCCTGGAAAACCTCATGACTGCCACTTTGTCCCCAAGAATCTCAGCACTGCTTTGCTCCAGACCTACCATTCTTCCAAGGCAGCTGGGCACCCAGGGAAAAATCAACTCATTTGGTCCGTCTCAACAATTCTGGTGGCCTAGTCTTTGTGCAGATGTAACAGCAACACTTTTTGAACGTAGTAGTTGGAAAATATCTTATTTATTAGAAAGTAATTATAATTACTTTCTAATAAGATTTTTTACAACTACTAAGTTCAGAAAGCGCCACAGTTCTTTCTCCTTCTATATCTTATGACAGATAGGCTTCTGGCAAACTGGCTACTTTCTCATTGGAATGATTTTCAATCCTTATGCAAGGACTGTGGGCTGATGATCTTTATTGGACTTTTGATATTTGGCATCCCTGTGTTCTTGTCTTGGACTCTCTAAGTGCCACAATCATTTGTTGTTCTTGCGCAGATGTAACAGCCTTTGCAGCTACTTGTCTGGCGGGTTCTCAGAATAAAACACCAACACCTTCCAGTAGGCCTACAACCCATAACCAATGGAGAGTCCTTGGACCCACTTGTCTATTGATTTTATTGTGGATTTACCCAACTCCCAGAGCATTAGTTATTCTCATGGTGGTTGACTGGTTTTCGAAAAATGTCATTACATTCCACTAAAGTTGCCTACATCCAAAGAACTGGCATCAATATTCGCTCGCGAGGTCTTTAAGTTACATGGATTACCAAAAATTATCATCTCAGACAGGGGTAGCCATTTTGGGTCCAGGGTTTGGCGAGCCTTTTGTGCAGAGTTGGAAATTCAGCTTTCCTTCTCAGCATATCACCCACAGTCCAATGGGGCTGCAGAAAGAGCCAACCAAGCCTTGGAACAGTTCATATGTTGCCATATTTCACACCACAACAACTGGTTTGACCTGTTACCTTGGGCGGAGTTTGCTCACAATAATGCCATCTTCCAATTATCTCTTTTTATGGTGAGCTATGGGTTCCAGCCATCCATGTTGCCTGATACATTCATTCTGCAAGGAAGTCTTGCGTTAGAGGAACATCTTTGAGGACTCCATTCCACTTGGGTGCAGATCCAAGAATCCTTGCAACACTCCAGAGAGGTACAAACTCCATGCTGACCACCAATGCCTAGCTGCACCCTCTTACCGACTTGGGGAGAGGGTCTGGCTGGCTTACCGTAACCTCGGACTCAGTGTTCCCTCACTAAAACTGGTGTCTCTGAATATTGGGCCTTTCCACATACTCCGTTGTGTATGCCACTGGGTTAACCCATTAGATCTTTCTTTCAACACGCGTATTTTCAACTTATTCCATTATTCCTTATTAAAACCGGTAGATCACCTCAGTACCACACCATCGCTCTATTCAGGTTGACAACCAATGGGAATATGAGATACAATCACTGGACTCCCATAGGTTTCGTGGATACAACCAATAACCAGTTCGCTGGAGAAGATACATTCCAGAGGAATGCTCTTGGGTCCGTACATGCTCCTGCCCTCCTCCATGCTTTCCATTTACGTTTTTCTCTCAAGCCTGGTGCCTCATGAAGGGGAGGGGACATTAAGGAGCAGGTACTGTCAGGGCTGGGCTCCTGCTACTTAAAGAGCAGCTCTTTTCTTTCAGTGCTCAGAAGCTGCTCAGCGGTCAGTTATTTACCGTCCACTTGTCTCCACTGACTCACCTGGACACCATGACCTGCCTCATTAGTCCAGCCTACAGCCAACCCTTTATGCTATTTTAGCAGCTAAACTCATTGCCTCCTTGCCTTTGGTCTACAATCTCCAGTGCGTTCCTGCCTGGTCTACAATCTCCAGTGCGTTCCTGCCTGGTCTACAATCTCCAGTGCGTTCCTGCCTGGTCTACAATCTCCAGTGCGTTCCTGCCTGGTCTACAATCTCCAGTGCGTTCCTGCCTGGTCTACAATCTCCAGTGCGTTCCTGCCTGGTCTACAATCTCCAGTGCGTTCCTGCCTGGTCTACAATCTCCAGTGCGTTCCTGCCTGGTCTACAATCTCCAGTGCGTTCCTGCCTGGTCTACAATCTCCAGTGCGTTCCTGCCTGTGTTCCTGTGTACAATTTGGTCTGGTTGACTTCTCTGATTCCGGTTCCTGGTTTTGTGAATTTGGCTAACCTGACTTCCTGCTCTGGCATCCAAACCCTGCCTTCTGTTTTCAGGATGTTCCTGATCTGTTATCTTTGCCATTTCATTAAAAAGGAGTGATTTTTAACTGCACTGTCTCTGCCTGGTTCATGGTTCCTGACACCTTCCTCCCTGTTCTAGATCATTTATACCCAGAATAATAGGTGATGGCCCCAACAGGCCTTGGTGTGCACCAGCAACTTTAGACCACTCAGTATGAATCACTTTCTGAATTCATCATTAAAGCAGAATTTTGCCCAGAAGACAAACTGTCTAATCTGCAATAAAATATTTTGATCTTTTGGAATGCACACAGAGGGGAGTGCGAGTGTGAATGCTGGGAGCGATCTATAGCTGGCCTCTGGGGGGGGGGGGGATTTTTGTGGCACTCATTGTCCAATGTAAGGAATAAAAGACAAACTCTCTCTTTAAAGATTCTTTAATAATTCTGAAGAAAATTACAATCTGCATAAAAAAATTCTAAAAACACAAACATTCTGCAACCAACATGGTATAAAGTTGCAAAAGAAACTTTACATAAGATGTATTAAACTCCAGGGCGGAGAAGTGCTGGGGCCCCTGTGTGTCCAGCCAGCTTCCATCGGAGCTCAGTGTTCTGCTCTCTAGGATTTCTCTTCTCTCATCTCCCTGAACACATAGTAACCCTCCTTAGCTTTACCCGCATGAAATCTGCTGTGATAAGTATGTACACAGCGTGCGCACTCATCCCATATATACAGAGACACAAATTGTACATCAGCGCACAAGCCAGAATGGGACGAGATTGGAGGCCAGACAAGTCAATACACACATATCTATACGGCCCAGTACTGCGCTCCGGTCACACGGTCTATATACAGGAACAGGCGGCTGGTCTCCCCGCAGTGCCCACACACACGGGAGGGGACTCACACACACACACGGGGGAGGGGACACGGACACACACACACACACGGGAGGGGACACGGACACACACACACACACACACACACGGGAGGGGGGACACGGACACACACACACACACACACGAGGGAGGGGACACGGACACACACACACACGGGAGGGGACACGGACACACACACACACACACACGAGGGAGGGGACACGGACACACACACACACACACGAGGGAGGGGACACGGACACACACACACACACGAGGGAGGGGACACGGACGGACACACACGAGGGAGGGGACACGGACACACACACACACACACACACACACACACACACACACACGAGGGAGGGGACACGGACGGACACACACGAGGGAGGGGACATGGACGGACACACACGAGGGAGGGGACACGGACACACACACACACACACACACACACACAGACACGAGGGAGGGGACACGGACACACACACACACACACACACACACAGACACGAGGGAGGGGACACGGACACAGACACGAGGGAGGGGACACGGACACAGACACACACACACACAGACACGAGGGAGGGGACACGGACAGACACTACAAAGAGGAGACCTTGCAGGGGGAGGGGCAGAAAGGCACATGGGAGGAGCACACAGAACAACAAAGGAAGTGTACAGGGACAAAGCAGCAGCGACGGGAAACAAGTCACATGACAGGAAGGGCCTGAGCATCATGGAGGAGCGCAGATCTCGCAGTCATGTTAGGTGCACATCATGGACAGCCTGAAACAAAGAAAAGATCGATGTGTGCACAGTAATAGGGATCCACGCCGGCACAGCTATATGGGGGATCCACGCCAGCACAGCTATATAGGGGATCCACGCCGGCACAGCTATATAGGGGATCCACGCCGGCACAGCTATATAGGGGATCCACGCCGGCACAGCTATATAGGGGATCCACGCCGGCACAGCTATATAGGGGATCCACGCCGGCACAGCTATATAGGGGATCCACGCCGGCACAGCTATAGGGGGATCCACGCCGGCACAGCTATAGGGGGATCCACGCCGGCACAGCTATAGGGGGATCCACGCCGGCACAGCTATATGGGGGATCCACGCCGGCACAGCTATATGGGGGATCCACGCCGGCACAGCTATATGGGGGATCCACGCCGGCACAGCTATATGGGGGATCCACGCCGGCACAGCTATATGGGGGATCCACGCCGGCACAGCTATATAGGGGATCCACGCCGGCACAGCTATAGGGGGATCCACGCCGGCACAGCTATATAGGGGATCCACGCCGGCACAGCTATATAGGGGATCCACGCCGGCACAGCTATATAGGGGATCCACGCCGGCACAGCTATATAGGGGATCCACGCCGGCACAGCACAGCTATATAGGGGGATCCACGCCGGCACAGCTATATAGGGGGATCCACGCCGGCACAGCTATAGGAGATCCACGCCGGCACAGCTATAGGGGATCCACGCTGGCACAGCTATATAGGGGGATCCACGCCGGCACAGCTATAGGGGGATCCACGCCGGCACAGCTATAGGGGGATCCACGCCGGCACAGCTATAGGGGGATCCACGCCGGCACAGCTATAGGGGGATCCACGCCGGCACAGCTATATAGGGGATTGTATTCAGTTATCCTATATAACACGGTCCACCATTCTCAGTACAAAATGGTGCGTGGCCCCAGAAATACTGAGAAATTCTCAGCTATAAAAAGATAAAACCAGACCCCTTACCGGTCTCCTCCAAGGTGGCTGCACTCATCCTCCAAGTCCTCCTCCAGATCCATATCCAACTCCGAACCAATGTCAGCCCGCTTATAGGAATATCCACTGGAAGGGGAGCCAAGCAAACCGGGAGCACATGGTGGGAGCACATGGTGGAAGCACATGGTGGGAGCACATGGTGGGAGAGAGGAGAAGGAAGAACAATGATTATTTCTCTGGGACCGCCCACAGTGTCAGCAGTTATTATAGCAGTGCAGTGATGTCACCTGATGGAGCGGCAGGTAAAGAAGACAATTCTTTTCAGCTTCTTGTTGTAGAAGAAATAGTTAAATGACCACAAACTTCCATCTTCACCGAACGGATCCGAGTCCAGATCTGGATTGTAACTGCAATGACAAAGACCGTACCAAGTCTAATCCCAGTGAAGACACTTCCCATACCCTGTGTGGCCTCCTGTACCCCTCCTTCTGCCCCAAACAACCCTCAGTACATAGGACCACTCCTATCCACCACCATGACATCTCTTCGCCCACCTATCCACCACCATGACATCTCTTCACCCACCTATCCACCACCATGACATCTCTTCGCCCACCTATCCACCACCATGACATCTCTTCGCCCACCTATCCACCACCATGACATCTCTACGCCCACCTATCCACCACCATGACATCTCTTCGCCCACCTATCCACCACCATGACATCTCTTCGCCCACCTATCCACCACCATGACATCTCTTCGCCCACCTATCCACCACCATGACATCTCTTCGCCCACCTATCCACCACCATGACATCTCTTCGCCCACCTATCCACCACGACATCTCTTCCCCCACCTATCCAACACCATGACATCTCTTCCCCCACCTATCCACCACCATAGAAATCTCTACGCCCACCTATCCACCACCATGACATCTCTTCACCCACCTATCCATCACCATAGAAATCTAAAATGGCGTGGCACAGACACATTGGAAGGGTCAAAGCCGTGCGCACACTTCCGCACAGTGCTGTATCACTGAACACTCGCGGCTCCTGCCTACAGCACCATTACAGAAGGAAGACATTAGCAAAGGCTCACAGGGGGGCTCACCAGTCCAAGTGGCAGTGTACAAGTCCATCTTCACCCATCATGGTGGACATGTCCCAGGGGGCCTTCAGGGACACGGCTTTCCCCAAATAGGAATCTCTGACCTGGACCTGCAAATCACCTAATACCAGGTGTCAGGGATCCCGGCCGCTCAGTGGTGCGCGCATGCGCCGATCGCTGACTCGTCCTAGCCGGCGAGCACGGAGTTCTAGGCAATCGCAGCGGCCGCGCATGCGCACTAGGGATCGCACCAATGAGAGCACAGGGCGTCCTATTTAAACCAGCCCTGTGTATCTCCAAATCGCCTGATGGTCTTGTTCTCTGTACCCGTGTTTCCTGTAGATCCCGTGTTCCCTGCAGATCCCGTGTTCCCTGCAGATCCCGTGTTCCCTGCAGATCCCGTGTTTCCCTGCAGATCCCGTGTTCCCTGCAGATCCCGTGTTCCCTGCAGATCCCGTGTTCCCTGCAGATCCTGTGTTCCTGCTTGCCTTGTTGCCAACCCAGCCTGTTCCCGATACTGCGATCTTCTCCTGCCCTGACCCCTGACTCCTCCTGACTATTCTCTGCCTGATCCTGACTGCCTGACCTCCTGGTACTGAACCCGGCTCATGACCAGTTATTCTTCTGCCTATTGCTCCGTACTGTCTGCTCCGCTGTTGCCAACCCGGCCTGTCTGACCTCGCATACCTCTTCACATCTGGCTCTCACCTGCACTACGCCATTGTGGCACCGGCCTCTACCACAGCTGGTGTTTCTCAGGGGTCGCGACCTGGTCTCAGGCTGCTTCAAGTCCATCCCCACCATCAGGGGCTCTGGTGAACCAGCAGCCTGAGGCTTAGACTCCACGCCCTGAGGGGTCCCGGCCAATGGGCCGCTAGAGGCTACCGCCAGTCGGCTACTGACACCAGGTATCCAGGAAAGTGCTGCCTCCAGGGTTCAGTGCTGATGGACAAGGTTTCAGGCTGCCTCATCCTTCCAGCGCAGGGTTCAGTCCCGGGGGGTTCATCCATCCAGCGCAGGGTTCATCCATCCAGCGCAGGGTTCAGTCCCGGGGGTTCACCCTTCCAGCGCAGGGTTCAATCCCGGGGGTTCACCCTTCCAGCGCAGGGTTCAGTCCCGGGGGTTCATCCTTCCAGCGTAGGGTTCATCCATCCAGCGCAGGGTTCAGTTCCGGGGTTCATCCTTCCAGCGCAGGGTTCAGTCCCGGGGGTTCATCCTTCCAGCGCAGGGTTCAGTTCCGGGGGTTCATCCTTCCAGCGCAGGGTTCAGTTCCGGGGGTTCATCCATCTAGCGCAGGGTTCAGTTCCGGGGGTTCATCCTTCCAGCGCAGGGTTCAGTTCCCGGGGGTTCATCCATCCAGTGCAGGGTTCAGTTCCGGGGGTTCATCCTTCCAGCGCAGGGTTCAGTTCCGGGGGTTCATCCATCCAGCGCAGGGTTCAGTTCCGGGGGTTCATCCTTCCAGCGCAGGGTTCAGTTCCGGGGTACATTTTTCCAGCGCAGGGTTCAGATCTGGGGTTCATCCTTCCAGTGCAGGGTTCAGTTCTGGGGGTTCATCCTTCCAGCGCAGGGTTCAGTTCCGGGGGTTCATCCTTCCAGCGCAGGGTTCAGTTCCGGGGTACATTTTTCCAGCGCAGGGTTCAGATCTGGGGTTCATCCTTCCAGTGCAGGGTCTGGGTACCATCCCTCTGGGCTTTGCAGCCGTGTTCTTAGGGAGCACTAACCTGAGGATGTGCTGTGCTGGGAGGGGCTATGGGTAGGTGGGGAAGTCTTAGCAGTATCCATTCCCCTGGAGGTGGCAGCATAACCCGAGTGCCATGAAGAAAATGTAATGAATGTGCAGTATGGTGTACGAGTAAGGAAAGAGCATTTCCAGTGTGTAGCCCCCCCCCCCCCCCCCCCCCCCCCGCGTACCAGACCCCTGTACACCACCCTCCCCTTACCAGACCCCTGTACACCCCCCCAGCATACCAGACCACAGAGCGCTCCCCCGCACCCACCTGTACACAGCACAGAGCGCTCCCCGCACCCACCTGTACAGACCACAGAGCGCTCCCCGCACCCACCTGTACACGTCACAGAGCGCTCCCCCGCACCCACCTGTACACGTCACAGAGCGCTCCCCCCCCGCACCCACCTGTACACAGCACAGAGCGCTCCCCGCACCCACCTGTACACAGCACAGAGCGCTCCCCGCACCCACCTGTACACACAGCACAGAGCGCTCCCCCGCACCCACATCCCCTGCACCCACCTGTACACGTCACAGAGCGCTCACTCTCCCCGCACCCACCTGTACACAGCACAGAGCGCTCCCCGCACCCACCTGTACACGTCACAGAGCGCTCCCCGCACCCACCTGTACACAGCACTCCCCCGCACCCCACCTGTACACAGCACAGAGCGCTCCCCGCACCCACCTGTACACAGCACAGAGCGCGCTCCCCCGCACAGCGCTCCCCCACCCTGTACACAGCACAGAGCGCTCCCCCGCACCCACCTGTACAGACCACAGAGCGCTCCCCGCACCCACCACCTGTACACGTCACAGAGCGCTCCCCGCACCCACCTGTACACAGTCACAGAGCGCTCCCCGCACCCACCTGTACACAGCACAGAGCGCTCCCCGCACCCACCTGTACACAGCACAGAGCGCTCCCCGCACCCACCTGTACACGTCACAGAGCGCTCCCTGTACACCCACCTGTACACACCTGTCACAGAGCGCTCCCCGCACCCACCTGTACAGAGCACAGAGCGCTCCCCGCACCCACCTGTACACAGCACAGAGCGCTCCCCGCACCCACCTGTACACAGCACAGAGCGCTCCCCGCACCCACCCCCGCTCCCCACCTGTACAGACCACAGAGCGCTCCCCGAGCGCTCCCCGCACCCACCTGTACACAGAGCGCGCACAGAGCGCTCCCCGCACCCACCTGTACACAGCACAGAGCGCTCCCCGCACCCACCTGTACACAGCACAGAGCGCTCCCCGCACCCACCTGTACACAGCACAGAGCGCTCCCCGCACCCACCCCGCAGCGCTCCCCCACCTGTACAGAGCACAGAGCGCTCCCCGCACCCCCGCAACACACCCACCTGTACAGAGCACAGAGCGCTCCCCGCACCCACCTGTTACACCCAGTACACAGCACAGAGCGCTCCCCGCACCCCCTGCACAGAGCGCTCCCCGCACCCACCTGTACAGAGCACAGAGCGCTCCCCGCACCCACCTGTACACAGCACAGAGCGCTCCCCGTACACACCCACCTGTACACAGCACAGAGCGCTCCCCGCACCCACCTGTACACAGCACAGAGCGCTCCCCGCACCCACCTGTACACACCTGTACACAGCACAGAGCGCTCCCCGCACCCACCTGTACACGTCACAGAGCGCTCCCCGCACCCACCTGTACAGTCACAGAGCGCGCACCCACCTGTACACGTCACAGAGCGCTCCCACCTGTACACGTCACAGAGCGCTCCCACCTGTACACGTCACAGAACGTTCCCCGCACCCACCTGTACGTCACAGAGCGCTCCCACCTGTACACAGTCACAGAGCGCTCCCCGCACCCACCCGTACACGTCACAGAGCGCTCCCCCGCACCCACCTGTACACGTCACAGAGCGCTCCCCGCACCCACCTGTACACGTCACAGAGCGCTCCCCGCACCCACCTGTACACGTCACAGAGCGCTCCCCGCACCCACCTGTACACGTCACAGAGCGCTCCCCGCACCCACCTGTACACGTCACAGAGCGCTCCCCGCACCCACCTGTACACGTCACAGAGCGCTCGCTCCCCGCACCCACCTGTACAGAGCACAGAGCGCTCCCCGCACCCACCCGTACACGTCACAGAGCGCTCCCCGCACCCACCCGTACACGTCACAGAGCGCTCCCTGCACCCCACCTGTAGATGTCACATTCTGACAGGTTGATTTCTTCATCCACAGCATCCCATAAATCAGATTTCAGAGCAGTGAAGTCTTCCCCCAGAGCAGACACCAGACTGCTATTCACAGCATTCACCACCTGAGGGCAGCAGTGAGAGAAAGTGACAGAAATCAGTACCCAGAGTGTCACCTAGAGAGGGGTTGGAGTTCCTTCCCAGAACCCTTCTACTGGCCTCCATTCAGTGTCCTCCACCCCCCTCTGCCAATCCCTCTACTGGCCTCCATTCAGTGTCCTCCACCCCCCTCTGCCAATCCCTCTACTGGCCTCCATTCAGTGTCCTCCACCCCCCTCTGCCAATCCCTCTACTGGCCTCCATTCAGTGTCCTCCACCCCCCTCTGCCAATCCCTCTACTGGCCTCCATTCAGTGTCCTCCACCCCCCTCTGCCAATCCCTCCACTGGCCTCCATTCAGTGTCCTCCACCCCCCTCTGCCAATCCCTCCACTGGCCTCCACTCAGTGTCCTCCACCCCCCTCTACCAATCCCTCCACTGGCCTCCATTCGGTGTCCTCCACCCCCCTCTGCCAATCCCTCCACTGGCCTCCATTCAGTGTCCTCCACCCCCCTCTGCCAATCCCATCCTGGCCTCCATTCAGTGTCCTCCACCCCCCTCTGCCAATCCCTCCACTGACCTCCACTCAGTGTCCTCCACCCCTCTCTGCCAATCCCTCCACTGGTCTCCATTCAGTGTCCTCCACCCCCCTCTGCCAATCCCTCCACTGGCCTCCACTCAGTGTCCTCCACCCCCCCCCCCCCCCTGCCAATCCCTTCACTGGCCTCCACTCAGTGTCCTCCACCCCCCTCTGCCAATCCCTCCACTGGTCTCCACTCAGTGTCCTCCACCCCCCTCTGCCAATCCCTCCACTGGCCTCCACTCAGTGTGTCCACCCCCACCCCCCCCCCCCTGCCAATCCCTTCACTGGCCTCCACTCAGTGTCCTCCACCCCCCTCTACCAATCCCTCCACTGGCCTCCATTCGATGTCCTCCACCCCCCTCTGCCAATCCCATCACTGGCCTCTATTCGATGTCCTCCACCCCCCTCTGCCAATCCCATCACTGGCCTCCATTCAGTGTCCTCCACCCCCCTCTCTGCCAATCCCTCCACTGGCCTCCACTCAGTGTCCTCCACCCCCCCCCCCCTGCCAATCCCTTCACTGGCCTCCACTCAGTGTCCTCCACCCCCCTCTGCCAATCCCTCCACTGGTCTCCACTCAGTGTCCTCCACCCCCCTCTGCCAATCCCTCCACTGGCCTCCACTCAGTGTCCTCCACCCCCCCCCCCCCTGCCAATCCCTTCACTGGCCTCCACTCAGTGTCCTCCACCCCCCTCTACCAATCCCTCCACTGGCCTCCATTCGATGTCCTCCACCCCCCTCTGCCAATCCCATCACTGGCCTCCATTCGATGTCCTCCACCCCTCTCTCTACCCCATCTTATAGAGAAGACAAATAATGGCTCTACATAACAGAACCCAGAGCAGTCTGCATATGTAGGGGTGGGCCGATGTGGGGCCGGCAGAGCAGTCTGCATATGTAGGGGGGGGGGTGGGGCAATGTGGGGCCAGCAGAGCAGTCTGCATATGTAGGGGGGTCAGACCGATGTGGGGCTGGCGCAGCAGTCTGCATACGTAGGGGGGGCCGATGTGGGGCCGGCAGAGCAGTCTGCATATGTAGGGGTGGGCCGATGTGGGGCCGGCACAGCAGTCTGCATATGTAGGGGTGGGGAGGGGGCAATGTGGGGCCAGCACAGCAGTCTGCATATGTAGGGGTGGGGGGGGGGCAATGTGGGGCCAGCAGAGCAGTCTGGATATGTAGGGGGGGTCAGACCGATGTGGGGCCGGCGCAGCAGTCTGCATACGTAGGGGGGGCCGATGTGGGGCCGGCAGAGCAGTCTGGATATGCAGGGGAGGGTCAGACCGATGTGGGGCCGGCAGAGGAAGGGTCAAGGGATACAAAAAAGGTAATAACTGAGGGAGGGATGAGCTGATTGGGAAGCCAGAAGCACAGCTATTAGGTGGGGTGGGATAGAAGGGATTTGAGGGATCAAAGTGGACAAAATACAGAATAGGAAATAGTTGATTGGGAAAGGGATTCCAAAGTATGGGAGGGGCTCAGAAAAAGTCCTGGAGGTGAGCATGGGAGGAGTAGACAAGGGATCTAGAGAACAGGAGGTCTTAGAAGGAACAAAGAACAAACGGATTGATATTTTGAGACTAGATTAGTGATATAGCCGGGGGGCGAGGGGAGGGTGGCGTTGTACCTTGTTGTATTTTTAACTTTATTCGTTAGGTGAATGGAGGCCAGTGATGGGATTGGCAGAGAAGGGTGGAGGACACAGAATGGAGGCCAGTGATGGGATTGGCAGAGAGGGGTGGAGGACACAGAATGGAGGCCAGTGATGGGATTGGCAGAAAGGGGTGGAGGACACAGAATGGAGGCCAGTGATGGGATTGGCAGAGGGGGGTGGAGGACACAGAATGGAGGCCAGTGATGGGATTGGCAGAAAGGGGTGGAGGACACCGAATGGAGGCCAGTGATGGGATTGGCAGAGAGGGGTGGAGGACACCGAATGGAGGTCAGTGGAGGGATTGGCAGAGAGGGGTGGAGGACACCGAATGGAGGTCAGTGGAGGGATTGGCAGAGAGGGGTGGAGGACACCGAATGGAGGTCAGTAGAGGGATTGGCAGAGAGGGGTGGAGGACACCGAATGGAGGCCAGTGATGGGATTGGCAGAGAGGGGTGGAGGACACCGAATGGAGGCCAGTAGAGGGATTGGCAGAGAGGGGTGGAGGACACCGAATGGAGGCCAGTAGAGGGATTGGCAGAGAGGGGTGAAGGACACTGAATGGAGGCCAGTGATGGGATTGGCAGAGAGGGGTGGAGGACACTGAATGGAGGCCAGTGATGGGATTGGCAGAGAGGGGTGGAGGACACTGAATGGAGGCCAGTAGAGGGATTGGCAGAGAGGGGTGGAGGACACCGAATGGAGGTCAGTAGAGGGATTGGCAGAGAGGGGTGGAGGACACCGAATGGAGGTCAGTAGAGGGATTGGCAGAGAGGGGTGGAGGACACCGAATGGAGGCCAGTGGAGGGGATTGGCAGAGAGGGGTGGAGGACACCGAATGGAGGCCAGTAGAGGGATTGGCAGAGGGGGGTGGAGGACACCGAATGGAGGTCAGTAGAGGGATTGGCAGAGGGGGGTGGAGGACACTGAGCAGGTGGTAAGCTGGATCAGCCTGGCAGCAGCATTCATGGTGGAATGAAGGTGGGTAGTCTATGTAAAGGAAGGCTAATGAGGAGGGAGTTGCAATAGTTGAGGTGGGAGAGTTCAGAGTCCAGGATTACACCCACCACCCTGGCATACGGGGGGGGGCGGGGTGTCATTGATCTTGACAGTCGTCGGGGGAAGGGGCATGTTGGCGGAGGAAATATGAGCTTACTTTAGGTGACTTATTACTCCATTTAGTGTCTGGGCTTACCCACCAATCCAGGGATTGTATACTTTGCCCAACCGCACTGCCTCACCACCTACCCACCAATCCAGGGATTGTATACTTTGCCCAACCGCACTGCCTCACCACCTACCCACCAATCCGGGATTGTATACTTTGCCCAACCGCACTGCCTCACCACCTACCCACCAATCCAGGGATTGTATACTTTGCCCAACCGCACTGCCTCACCACCTACCCACCAATCCAGGGATTGTATACTTTGCCCAACTGCGCACTGCCTCACCACACCTACCCACCAATCCAGGGATTGTATACTTTGCCCAACCGCACTGCCTCACCACCTACCCACCAATCCAGGGATTGTATACTTTGCCCAACCGCACTGCCTCACCACCTACCCACCAATCCAGGGATTGTATACTTTGCCCAACCGCACTGCCTCACCACCTACCCACCAATCCAGGGATTGTATACTTTGCCCAACCGCACTGCCTCACCACCTACCCACCAATCCAGGGATTGTATACTTTGCCCAACCGCACTGCCTCACCACCTACCCACCAATCCAGGGATTGTATACTTTGCCCAACCGCACTGCCTCACCACCTACCCACCAATCCAGGGATTGTATACTTTGCCCAACCGCACTGCCTCACCACCTACCCACCAATCCAGGGATTGTATACTTTGCCACCCACTGCAGCATCCCTGCCTGTCTAAGCTGACAGTTCCCAGAGGGTGATGACACCATGACACCCTCCACATGGCAGAGGGACCTATAACCTGGACTGTTCTTTACAGGGACAACATGAAACAGAAACAAGGCTCTGGCTCTGCACAAGGAGGGGTGTATGAGCCGAGATCCGGGCCTCAATCGGGAGAAGGGGCCCAGAGATCCGGGCCTCAATCGGGAGAATGGGCCTCAGGCACAGATGGGGGGTGGGGGGCACAGAAGGGAGTGTTCCTACAGGGTAAATGAGCACTCAGGCAGGTGGGACAAAACCCATGATGGACCCTTCCAATAAGGAATTATCAGGGTAGCCCCAAGGGGCACATAGCCATAGACTTCCAGGGGCCAGGTACAGTTCCCAAGCTGTACTCGAGGGTCACCATCCAGACACTGCCAGTGACCAATGAAGGTAGTAAGCAGTCAGATCTCGATAGGAGTGTCAGGTGAAGGAGGTGAAATAAATCTGATGAAAAATAGGAAAAGGCGTCCATCACCTAAGGACACTAGAACAAAGGCAGAGCCTCATGGAGTGGGTGGGGTTATAGGGGGCGGGCCCATCAAAACGGTTGCCAATGTCCAGTCACCTGAAGGAAGGGGAATATAACCGATCAATTTCCGTGTCCTGCACAATACAGATAAAGGTTTTCACTAAAAGCTGACCATAGTAAGCACCCCTGGCAGTGGCAAAGGATTCGTCCAACCCCCCCCCCCCCCCCCCCCCCCGACACCTTTGCTGGACAGCTTGGTCTGTTAATGGAAGCTGAAAGATAACAGATTTACTGGCAGGATCAACCAGAATACAACCATGTACACCGGGACTCCGAAACAAAAACTGAACGAATGACACCGACAGATTCGGCTAGATTTGTCATTCCCAATTTTTGTCTGGAGTTCCACTTTAGAACAAAAGATTCTCCCGCTGGTTCCGGATCTCCTGAATCTGCAGCTCGCGATATATTATCAGGAAGATTGCGAACCGGCAGACAAGAATCTACTGCAGAAAAGACATCACAGGCGCCCCCCGCAATAAACACCTCATTGTCCACCGTAAAGACCATCCTACCAAGCGCAGCCATGGAAGCCGCCATCTTAGCCTGGGTTTGGTCTGCACATGGGACCTTATGACACCAGACATTTGATGGTGACACAGTCCGGCTGAGAGCAAAACATAAGCACACGAGCAACTGTCCTTGGAAAGAATTATTCAGGGGGCTTTGTTCCACTTTATTGGGGAGTGGCTTAGTTCTGCTTTCTTTTGAGGGGGTTTGTTCCTCTTCAATAGGGGGAGTGGCTTAGTTCTGCTTTAACTGGGGGGGGGGGGGGGTTCGTTCCGCTTTAGGTACAGCTCCGGGAACAACCCAGGGCACACCTCAAGGTACAGCTCCAGGCACACCTCAAGGTACAGCTCCAGGCACACCTCAAGGTACAGCTCCGGGTACACCCCCGGGAACAACCCAGGGCACACCTCAAGGTACAGCTCCGGGCACACCTCAAGGTACAGCTCCAGGCACACCTCAAGGTACAGCTCCGGGTACACCCCCGGGAACAACCCAGGGCACACCTCAAGGTACAGCTCCAGGCACACCTCAAGGTACAGCTCCGGGTACACCCCCGGGAACAACCCAGGGCACACCTCAAGGTACAGCTCCGGGCACACCTCAAGGTACAGCTCCGGGTACAGCTCCGGGCACACCCCCGGGAACAACCCAGGGCACACCTCAAGGTACAGCTCCGGGCACACCTCAAGGTACAGCTCCGGGCACACCTCAAGGTACAGCTCCGGGCACACCTCAAGGTACAGCTCAGGGCACACCCCCGGGAACAACCCAGGGCACACCCCTGGGAACAGCTCCGGGCACACCCCCAAGGTACAGCTCCGGGCACACCCCCAAGGTACAGCTCCGGGCACACCCCAAGGTACAGCTCCGGGCACACCTCAAGGTACAGCTCCGGGCACACCCCCGGGAACAACCCAGGGCACACCCCTAAGGTACAGCTCCGGGCACACCCCCGGGAACAACCCAGGGCACACCCCCAAGGTACAGCTCCGGGCACACCCCCAAGGTACAGCTCCGGGCACACCCCCAAGGTACAGCTCCGGGCACACCCCCAAGGTACAGCTCCGGGCACACCCCAAGGTACAGCTCCGGGCACACCCCCAAGGTACAGCTCCGGGCACACCCCCAAGGTACAGCTCCGGGCACACCCCCAAGGTACAGCTCCGGGCACACCCCCAAGGTACAGCTCCGGGGGCACACCCCCAAGGTACAGCTCCGGGCACACCCCCAAGGTACAGCTCCGGGCACACCCCCAAGGTACAGCTCCGGGCACACCCCCAAGGTACAGCTCCGGGCACACCCCCAAGGTACAGCTCCGGGCACACCCCCAAGGTAAGGCACACCCCCAAGGTACAGCTCCGGGCACACCCCCAAGGTACAGCTCCGGGCACACCCCCAAGGTACAGCTCCGGGCACACCCCCAAGGTACAGCTCCGGGCACACCCCCAAGGTACAGCTCCGGGCACACCCCAAGGTACAGCTCTGGGCACACCCCAAGGTACAGCTCCGGGCACACCCCAAGGTACAGCTCTGGGCACACCCCAAGGTACAGCTCCGGGCACACCCCAAGGTACAGCTCCGGGCACACACCACTCACCCAGTTCAGGCTGGGCTCTCGGCTGAATTCATGGCTCCGAGCTGCACTAAAGTCGTAATCCGGCCGGAAGGATTCATTTAGAGTGGCGATAAGATAGAAGAGAGTCTTCCGGCTGCACTTATCACTGAGAGGTCCATCTTCATCCCCACCGAGACTCTTCCCCAGCCTGCAAGAGAGAGACACCAACAGTCTGCCACATGTAACAACCATGACCTCCCCCCAAACATGTAAATACCACATTCACTTGCTGCTAACAGCTGCCCCTACATGCATCACAGTTTGCCTAGTTCAGCAGGAACCGGATGAATTTCAATCCAGGTATGAACGTTCCCATTCTATCAATTAACTTTTCATGAATGGGCTTGTTGGTCAATTTTGCTCGATCAGCACATGTAGTCAATCGGCAGGGGAGACCCCCTATCCAAACACACTGGCACAGCTCAGATGTGTGGATGGGGAAATCGGTTCAGTCTTTCACTGGCTGGCTGAACCAAAAAAAATAAAGCCTTGTATGGGCAGCCAACTGTCAGCCTTTTGCTTTGCAATCCTCTGACAAACCCCCCCCCCCCCCCAACCAAAAAATTCACCTGGAGAGAAAAATACCTGCTGGGACTGACTCCACCGCTCTGTGGGGGTGACAACGCTTCCAGCACATGTGGCTGGCCTTCCTGACAGAACTGCTTGAACATGTGCTTGTCATCGCCAGCCATTTTACACGAGTAGCTCTCAATCCTGAAACAATAAAGAGATCGGCAATTACAGGTTGTGGTCTTCCCTGACACATTAGATGGACTGGAAAACAGATCACAGCCATATGTGCCACACTGTGTTCATACATTCTATCCAGGTAAAGTCATGTGAGGGACACTCAAAGGTGTCTTTACTTAGTCCTTCAATAAAAGCCCACAAATCCTCCTCATTACATCCACACAACTACCGAGGAGACCATTGAAATCCAGGAACCCTCCTCATTACATCCACACAACTACAAAAAGGACACCATCAAAATCCAGGAACCCTCCTCATTACATCCACATGACTATTGGGAAGACCATCAAAATCCAGGAACCTTACTCATTACATCCACACGTCTGCCGAGGAGACCATCAAAATCCAGGAACCCTCCTCATTACATCCACACAACTACCGAGGAGACCATCTAAATCCAGGAACCCTCCTCATTACATCCACACGACTACAAAAAGGAGACCATCAAAATCCAGGAACCCTCCTCATTACATCCACATGACTACCGAGGAGACCATCGAAATCCAGGAACCCTCCTCATTACATCCACATGACTACCGAGGAGACCATCGAAATCCAGGAACCCTCCTCATTACATCCACACGACTACAAAAAGGAGACCATCAAAATCCAGGAACCCTCCTCATTACATCCACACGACTACAAAAAGGAGACCATCAAAATCCAGGAACCCTCCTCATTACATCCACACGACTACAAAAAGGAGACCATCAAAATCCAGGAACCCTCCTCATTACATCCACACGACTACAAAAAGGAGACCATCAAAATCCAGGAACCCTCCTCATTACATCCACATGACTACCGAGGAGACCATCGAAATCCAGGAACCCTCCTCATTACATCCACACGACTACAAAAAGGAGACCATCAAAATCCAGGAACCCTCCTCATTACATCCACACGACTACAAAAAGGAGACCATCAAAATCCAGGAACCCTCCTCATTACATCCACACGACTACAAAAGGGAGACCATCAAAATCCAGGAACCCTGCTCATTACATCCACACGACTACAAAAAGGAGACCATCAAAATCCAGGAACCCTCCTCATTACATCCACACGACTACAAAAAGGAGACCATCAAAATCCAGGAACCCTCCTCATTACATCCACATGACTACCGAGGAGACCATTGAAATCCAGGAACCCTCCTCATTACATCCACACGACTACAAAAAGGAGACCATCAAAATCCAGGAACCTTCCTCATTACATCCACATGACTACCGAGGAGACCATCGAAATCCAGGAACCCTCCTCATTACATCCACATGACTATTGGGAAGACCATCGAAATCCAGGAACCCTCCTCATTACATCCACATGACTATTGGGAAGACCATCTAAATCCAGGAATCCTCCTCATTACATCCACATGACTATTGGGAAGACCATCGAAATCCAGGAACCTTCCTCATTACATCCACATGACTACCAAGGAGACCATCGAAATCCAGGAACCTTCCTCATTACATCCACATGACTACCGAGGAGACCATCGAAATCCAGGAACCCTCCTCATTACATCCACATGACTACCGAGGAGACCATCGAAATCCAGGAACCCTCCCTATTAGAGTCACACAACTCTGCTAATTAGACTTTCTGAATGCCAGGAATCCACCTTCTTAGATTCACCACAGTAACTAGTGAGGAGACGCTCTTCTATTTGGTAAGCTTGGTTATTACATATAGCCAATGATTACGATGTATGATTAAAATCATGCTCCACTGACGCACCTCTGACGTGTGGTAGGCAGTGAAGGAACACAGGAAGAATGTCACCTCTGATCTGATCACTTACCTCCCTATGATGTGTGAGTCGCCTGTCTCCACACACAGCTGGGAATTCACAGCTTCAAAATGCGAATTTTCCAACAACTTCATTTCAGGGTCTCCAAATATTATAAAGCCTGAAACACAGACAATAGGTAGGATGACTTCTAGAACAGCGAGAGACTCTGAATTCAAAAGATTATAAAACGGAATGAGGTGGCAATGCCGGGGGAGACTAGGAGATGTCAGTCATCCCTCCTGTCTGATGGAAGACCAGCCTACAATCCCGCCTCACCCCGATAGGTCTGCTCCTGCCTGGACACACAGGAAGACGTCTGGAAATAAATCATCTTCACCCCAAGCCCTATAATGATTGCAGAGCGAAGAGCAGACTGAAGAAATGGCCTCCCTGTCACCCTGGGTATATGCCCTGCCCCCCACATTCACATGCTCACCAATATACTGTACTTAGGTTATCCCATGGTATCCAAGCTTGCTGTAGGTGGCCATGTTCTCATGATGAAATAAGGAAGGACTCTGAACTTCCAGAATGACTGATGAAGGTTCCCTCAGCAATAAACAAGAGGGATGAAGGTTCAGGACATTCATCTATGGCTGCAGTCATGTCCTTCTCCTCCCAGGAGCTCACACTCTAATATAGGACAAAGCCTCAGACAGGGAGATGATGGGAACAATGACTGCTGAGACCCCCCCACTATGACAGCCCCCTATGTATTACGACTGTTGTATGACAGGCCCCAGCCTCAGTAAACCACAAGAACTGAATGACGAACCTGGAAAACAAATGTAAAAAAGCATAACATGATGCAAAGGGCAGGAATCTGGTTGTCCTGCAAAGACTCCTGGAAAGAAAGAACTCTGGTTTTCCCAAGTTGTCTTTCAGGAGAGCCCACGAGACGATAAGTAATAACTTACCAGCCTAGAGTGGGACCACTGCCTGGAGGACCTTACGCCCAATGGTTTGCTCTTGACTACTCAAAGAGATCCAAACAGTAGTGCCTGAGAAATATTGAGAAACACAACCAGGTAGCGGCCTTACATACTTGATCTGGAGAGGCACCAGCTCTCTCTGCCCAGGACATAGATAAGTCCCTAGTAGAATGTGCATTAATGAAAGGTACTGACAGGTATTTAACTTGATAGCAAAGTGAAATGGCCTGCTTGATCCATCTGGCAAGAGTTGGCTTGGAAGCTGGAAACCCTCTTTGAAAAAAGGACAAATAGAGCATCAGACCTTCTTAAATTTCGAATCCAAGTAGTGTAAGAGATCTCCTAATGTCAAGTAACCTGAACTTACTTTCTTTTCTATTTGAGTGAGAGGTACAAAAAGGAGGGTAGCACAATGTCCTGTGACCTATGAAAAGACATGGCTACTTTAGACAAAAAGCCAGGATCCATCTTCAGAACTATTCTGTCATCAAAAATTTAAAAAAAAAAAAATGGAGCTTTGATTGATAGAGCCTGCAGTTCACTAATCCTACATGCCGTGGCAATGGCCACAAAAAATATCGTCTTCCAAGTAACAAGTGTAATGGATGCTTCCCCTAAAGGCTCAAAAGGACTAGACGTCAATACTAGCAAAAGGTCCCAAGAAGGACTAGATGTCAATACTAGAAAAAGGTCCCAAGAAGGACTAGACTTAAACGGCACAGGTCTCGTTCTGGCCACTGATTAAAGAAATCATAGGATCTTCCAGGAGGGAAACTCTTAGAAATGTTCCTAAAGCTGCTGCTTGAACTTTAACAGTGCTGAGGGATAAACCCTTCCTTATACCTTCCTGGAACAAATCCAGGATTGTTGGAATGGAGGTTTCAGATCGTTCTTGTTCAGCCATCCAAGAATTAAACTTATTCCATATCTTGAAATAGACAGCTATAGTAACTGGCTTTCAACAGTTCCACCAACGTTTGTACCACTTTATCCGAAAATCCTTCTTGCTTTAATAACTGCTACACAGGTACCACTGTGAGAGTCTTAATGTGTCCAAGCCTGGACATCAAACAGGACCCTGGGATCTTCTTCCCTCTTTGGAAGAAATACTGGAGGACAGACTGCCAAGGATTTCAGGAGGGCAAACCAAGGGCATTTCAGCCAATGTGGAGCTATCAGAATGAAATCCAACTAGATGAAACTTCTGTAACATTGCTGGAATCAGCCTGAAGGGCGGGAAAGTAGAAACTAGATTGTAGGACTCGCCTCCCAGAAATGGGGATCAGAACTGGCATCCCCAGAGCCCGGCAATGATGTCACTCACCTCCCAGAAATGGGGATCAGAACTGGCATCCCCAGAGCCCGGCAATGATGTCACTCACCTCCCAGAAATGGGGATCAGAACTGGCATCCCCAGAGCCCGGCAATGATGTCACTCACCTCCCAGAAATGGGGATCAGAACTGGCATCCCCAGAGCCCGGCAATGATGTCACTCGCCTCCCAGAAATGGGGATCAGAACTGGCATCCCCAGAGCCCGGCAATGATGTCACTCGCCTCCCAGAAATGGGGATCAGAACTGGCATCCCCAGAGCCCGGCAATGATGTCACTCGCCTCCCAGAAATGGGGATCAGAACTGGCATCCCCAGAGCCCGGCAATGATGTCACTCGCCTCCCAGAAATAATGCCACGGCACATCTGGAGCCAACGAGGAGCGCAGAAGCCCCTCCCCCCCCCGCCACAAGAGGAGGAAGCCTGGGCAGGCACCACAGTCAAGCCCTACACTGCCACTGATTGCAGCCGCACAGATCAGGTATGGCCGCCTCTCATCACCATCCTCCTCCAGAGGCATGAGGGACAAACTGGCAGAGGGATGCACAAAACCAGTCCAGTCCTCCCCAGGCCCTGGAAAGGCCAAGACTGTAGCAGCCCATTCCCTGCTGTATCTATGGAGGGGATTGCTGCAGGGCAAGTACACAAGGATTCCATGAATAGGTTTCCCCAAACAGAGCTTCCAGCCAACCCTAGGGAGAACTTTTTCCCAAACGTTCCAGGAAACATGTTACCCTCGTCCAGAGGAAACACTAATAACTGAGGCGGGGCCTGGAGAACACCCTTTTATTCTCCATGGGGTAACGGGTTTCCTGTCCTGTGGGGAGGAGCTCTACCTCTCACGGGCTGTCCTGGGAGACGACTTGGGAAATGGCGGATCTACAGAGCCCCTCCCCGTGTACAGTGAATCACAGGACGCATAAACGCCTCTGCAGTTGGCAGTGTATGGAGCTTATTGTGCTGCCCTCTGTGTGAATCGAGGGTTTCTCAGGGAGTACAACTTACTGGCTGTGTTCTATATTGGATGGGGTGAGAATGTGCTCTGTATGTGGATAATACAGAAGGGGGAGGAGCCGAGATTACATATACTCATGTTCCAAATATAAACTAGAGGCCTGTGAACTGCACCAACCAAACATGTACCCTACCCAACATGTACCCTACCCCAACATGTACCCTACCCAACATGTACCCTACCCAAACATGTACCCTACCCAAACATGTACCCTACCCAAACATGTACCCTACCCAAACATGTACCCTACCCAACATCTACCCTACTCTACCCAACACAACACCTACCAAACACCGATTCTACCCAACATGTACCCTACTCTACCCAACACCTACCCTACCAAACATGTACCATGCCCTACCCAACACCTACCCTACCCAACAAAACCCCTACCCAACATGTACCCTACTCTACCCAACACCTACCCTACCCAACATGTACATTACTCTACCCAACACCCACCCTACTCTACCCAACATGTACCCTACCCAACACCTACCTTACCCAACATGTACCCTACCCAACACCTACCTTACCCAACATGTACCCTACCCAACACCTACCTTACCCAACATGTACCCTACCCAACACCTACCTTACCCAACATGTACCCTACCCAACATGTACTGTACTCTACCCAACACCTACCTTACTCTACCCAACATGTACCCTACCCAACACCTACCTTACCCAACATGTACCCTACTCTACCCAACACAACACCTACCCAACACCGATTCTACCCTACACGTACCCAACCCCACCATCCAGTATACCAACACAGGACCTGCATTCATCTTCTGACCTTCTTCTATGCATAGGGAGGTAAGTACCACTAGCTGCAGATATCCTCCTCTATCCTTATATCTGACTAGACTCAGCAAATGTCATACCTGTGATTACAAAAGGTCCAGCTTCTCAGACACAACACTTGGATACCAAGCAACTATTCTTCATACAGCTGCACTCCCTTCAGTATTTCTGACTTGTACTCGGCCTTCTTCCAGAAAACGTTCCACAAGGACTCGGAATGAAATCCAGCCGTACTCTCGGACACGACATTACTGCGATCCCAAAGAGGCCACGGGACGCTAACCAACCCTGAGAGGGAACAAAAGTCAGTGTCAGTCAGCAAAGGTTCCTCATCGATCGTTATTAACATCAAGTATGAAGGGGCCGATAGAAGAGATGTATATACTATATACAAATACACACACGTGAGTCCACCCCTAAGTGACAAGGTCCACATTGGGCCCAAAGTGTCAATATTTTGTGTGGCCGCCATTATTTTCCAGCACTGCCTGAACCCTCTTGGGCCTGGAGGTCACCAGAGCTTCACAGGTTGCCACTTGAGTCCTCTTCCACTCCTCCATGACGTCATCACGGAGCTGGTGGATGTTATAGACCTTGTGCTCCTCCACCTTCCGTTAGAGGAGGCCCCACAGATGCTCAATAGGGTTCAGGTCTGGAGACATGCTTGGCCAGTCCATCACCTGAACCCTCAGCTTCTTCAGCAAGGCAGTGGTGGTCTTGGAGGTGTGTTTGGGGTTGTTATGTTGGAATATTGCCCTGCGGCCCAGTCTCCAAAGGGAGGGGATCATGCTCTGCTTCAGTGTTGGCATTCATGGTTCCCTCAATGAACTGTAGCCCCCCCAGTGCCGGCAGCAGTCATGTGGCCCCAGACCATGACACCCCCACCATCACGCGGCCTCAGACCATGACACCCCCACCACCATGCAGCCCCAGACCGTGACACTCCCACCATCATCCTTGACTGTAGGCAAGACACACCTGTCTTTGTACTCCTCACCTG